AATAAATGCATGGTACTATAAAAATAGTAATATTGGGGCATAGATACATTTGACACGGTAGGCTATCGATCCTGGCATTAAGCTCTAAGGAAGGTACCGTGGACCAATCGCATAGTACCGTACTGCCTCAAAGAAACTCGAGAGTCCTAAGCCTATTTCTGTTTACGAGAGGTCGAAATGATTAAGTGCAGTGCAGTTTATGGTCCGCGCATAGCAACTGACCAGTGAGTGAGAATGATAGTGTGTGTGTGTGTGTGTGTGTACAGATTCTGTACTGGGACAGGACAGTACACATACGCCTTGAGTGGATCTCCAAAGTTCTTCTGATATGGTGTGGTCTGTATCGTTCCTTTTCTATCGTGACATGGAGTAAAGAGCGAAACGGAGGATTCTGCTGTGACACGAAAGGCAGGCGTTTGATTGGTTAACCGCCTATTGATCTATAGAAGTGCTGAACATTTGATTGGTCGTGAGTAAGACACTGAGCAAGTGTGGCTGGTCAGTGTAACGTTTGAAATGATGTAGGCGAACTGGCGTCCGGCATGTGGTCAGTCAAGCTTACCCACACACACATACACGCACACAAACACAAGCCGCATGTTTTCAACTGCAGTGGACAAATTTTTTGTAGAACATGAGGTCGGACTTACCGGTGGTCCCAGAGTTCCACATCGGTACTGTTCGTATAGATCAACCAGTTCTTTGTACCGCCTAAACAAACAGAGTAGAAAGAAGGTCACCGGGTGTCAGATTTCATTTCCTATTCTGTGAGGATTCTGCGGACCATGTTTTAATCATGCAATCGAAAACTGGGGGTCAACTGGAATAGAAAATGCCTGTGGTATATATATATATATATATATTCCAATATCAAACCCTATTGTAGATTGATTGTTCGCTGTTCTAAATGGGCTCCATTTTTGTTCCCGTGTCCAAGCGTGCAATGAGGGTGATAAAATCTTGTTTATTTTCGTTTTGTTACGGCAGCGCACGCACGCGTTTGTAGCATCTATCTGATAATGGCATGTTTGGTATGTCGCTTTCCATTTGATACGGGGTTTGAAGGATAAAAATGAACGGGGGAAGAAAACCGATCAACCAATCAAAACATGATGAGGTCCTATGGCATTTGCGGGGAGAAACTGACCACGGGACTTTCAGCGGTAATAACTAGTCAGTTGCCTAGTAACATTCGGATAACGTTAGTTGGATATGCGTTCCCCGAACTGAAAACGTGTAAATCCATGTCATTTTGGTCCACGCTTTCGATTGATGCAAACAATTATTAGATTAGTATACCACAACCGGAACACGATTGAGAAACACTATCGATTTGTTTCCGAAGATATCAAAACCACTGAAGGAATTGGACGACAATCGTTAGCGGAATATTAGTGAAGAGAAATGATCAGCCCCCAAACAACAATAATCATTTTGTAAAAATGACTTTCAGACTAAGATTGTAGTTCAGTTCACTATTGTGTTACGAATGAGCAAGTGCTGCTAAAAACGATGATGATGGTTCTGATGTGTGGCAAACACGAAAAGCAACTATCACGAAGATTGGGCACTGTGTGCGTAGAACTTGAATGACAAGGAATGAATCCAAATGCATAGTATTCGGGCTGGTGTCATAGTTTCGAAGTTTTTATCAGCAACTGTTGAGTCACGATGACCAAATGTTGATCGATGATCGAAATCGGCAACCTTAGCACAAGGAATTGGAATTGGCGAACTACTAGCATAGGCGTATTAGTAAAGCCGGGGAGAGTGGAGCCACCTATCCACAAAGGTGGGCTGTAGCACTGGCACGGGGTAACAGCATAACAGCCTGAGCTACTTCAACCGCCTTATAATCACCACCACTACTACCACCATCCGATCACCGCCACAAACTACCACTAACACTAGCACCACCACAACCATCTACCAAAACCTCCCGTCGAGAAATTATGAACAATGGAAAACATCACTGAGATCATGCTAAACAGCAACAACGATAAATGAGGCACACTACCTGCGTTGTTCCTCCAGTGCTTGAGTCACCTCGGCTCGAGCTCGATAGGCTTCGACCACCTGATTTTGCAATTCGACCAAACGATCCTGTGCGCATTCAATGACAATGTCAGCTGACAAACATTTGGGAAGGTAGGAATGTAGAAGACTGTGCGTGGATCCGGGACTGTAATCCCGTGTGTCTGGATCCAGATTAATCCCATTGAATTGTGAACGACGAATGGGCAATTTCAAATTTTCCGTTGAACGGGAACTGGTCGATCCGAGACTTTTCGAACGGGTCGGAGTGATTGTGGACGAGTCATCAGAGCTCCATGTGCGCGATCGCGGAATCTGATCCAGTCGTTCGGTCGATCGTCCTTTGGACGACCAAAATGATCTGCGCTGATCCCGAACAGACAGATTGGTGGATGAGGTTGTTCTCGTCGGGCCGGATGAATGTCGGAGTGCAGAGCGCAATGAGGGACATGAGACGACCGAAGTGTTCTCGGTTAAGTCGTGACTGGCATTCAAGTCGAACGAGACCAGTAGTTTGGGTTTTCTGGTCGATCGAGGTAATGTTTGACTGCGGGGCAAAGATCTAGCCTCGGACTTTGATGGGGCATAACAAAAAAACGAGAAAGAACAAATTATATAGACATAAAGTATGCCTTAGATGAATTCGTTCGTAGACAACGTCAATCATATAGGCTCGATCAAAAATGGTCGAACGAATGGTGTGTTTCAGTCTGTCGTCTGATTTGAGAATTATTCCGTTGTTGTTAGGCAATGTCATTGACTTGTGATTGGGCTAGTGATAATCCAGAGTTCATAACTGGACTGAGTAAGCTGCGCACAACTGACGTAATCGACTGACTGACAGAATTATAATTCCGATTAGATTAGGGTCCCGTAAACACGGTCTTCAGCTCAACCGACGGAGCTGCATACCCCACATCCATTCTTCCGATCCGAAGTCAATGAGGCTGATGTTTGATAACTGAATCGGTTAAATCACCCCTGTAGATGATACAAAAACTACACAAAGTATTGAAAATTGGTTCTCGTAGCTCGGGTGAACTGAATTCTATTTCGCCTGTTCGCCGAGCTTGGCAAT